TTTAATTTGCAGAATACTGGAGCATCATTTTACTCATTAATACAATTAAAAATCAATCATCCACTTTGCAGTATAGTTTGACTCTGCAGGCAAGCACATTGTGTGACACAAATAGACAGAGGACTAAAATGACATGACATTTTTATTTAAAATCTATCCTGCTAAAAGTTTTCATAATTCAAACCAACTTACAAATTAAATGGCAAAGTTGTCGCTGCAGGAGTGGTTGGAGTGTGGATGAGTGGACGTTGATGCTTTATAAGTGCTCCTCAGAGTCGCACCTCTGAAACATGAAGCTCAGTGTTTGGTGAGCATTTGAAAAAGTTGTTTGTGACAGAGAATATTTGCTATGTAGCATTGATGATATGGTTGTTTAGGGTGTGACTGTTTAAATACGTTGGAAACATAGAATATGACACCACTTATCTTTGTGAGAATTTAGTGTGAAGAAAATGCAACCAGAGCGCCACTCTGCACAGCCATTTCCAGCCATTTCCCCCTCCTCAAAAACAGCGATTCTCTACAAGTCCGCCTGGTTCTTTCTGCAGAAAAGATGCATTTCTTGCATATGTTTTTATACTTATGACAATGTGATGCTGAAACGCCAAGGATTTTTCTTCTTGTTTGTGAAACCTAGTTAGTAAAGTTCAATTTATCAAACTGCTCCACAGCGCTCATTTAAACAACTAACAACAGGTTAGAAGAGCTATTAGCTACAACTTTATTCCCATAAGTAATGATTTTATTACGACTTTATTCTCATAAGTAATTACAAAGTCTGAATTTTTTTTATCTTAATGTGGCCTACTGGAGAAACGTGTCACAAAAAAAAAAAAAAAAAAAAAGAGAAGAGAGAATCTTCAAATTAACAGTTGGATTTCTCCTCAGGGGGAATTGGGCGCCTATAATTCCTGACCCAGCAATGAAGAACAGAAGCACTCCATGTAACAGCAGAACCAGTAAAAGAGGGGAAACACTTATGCTGACTAGACACAGTGGCACACATACGGGTAGATGTGGGATGTTCATGAAGTAATCATAAGAGCAAAGGTGGCTGAAGTCATGGAAAACATCCATCATTAATCATACATGAAGTTAAGGTGAAGTCATATCGTAGCTCTTGGTCCTTCCTGATTACAACAGTACAGAAATAGCTATATTCCTTAAAAGTACACGATCAATCCTCTGTTGTGCTCTGTATTCATGCTGAAGTCCTGTGACTTTGACCTGCTGGCTATTATTCAGAGCCAGGTTTACTCTCACTGCATTTGAAGCTCAGGGCCTTTAAAAGTCCCAGACTGTTCAGCCTTTCACAGTGGGGGCTTCTGCACATTTTTCATGTTGCCGCCCCACTAGACAAGCCTAGCTCTTAATTGCATTAACACTATCTGGCACATACAGGGGAACAGTGATGCTGCAGTCAGCAGTCCGCAAGGCTCATTTTCTCTTCCCTGTCAGTGCTTTAACATCGAAAAGGCAGACTTCCTGTGAAGACACCTTTAACATCCTCTTGTCACATTAATTGATGGCAAAATTGCCACCGGTTATCATTAACAAGTTTAGAGCACTTCTAGCTGCAGGTGGCTCTTTGTCTGGAAGTATCTACTCGTAAATCATCTGTGCCTCACCTCTCACCTGTGTTATTGGAAAAGAATGAAAATTCGAACTCCAAATGAGCTAGTCATTGTTTTGGTGCAAAAATATAAGTTTTTTTTTTTTTTTTTCTTTTTTTTTAAGAAATAGTCTTAAAGGAAGGATAGAAAAAAGAGAATTGGTAAGAAACTCATCACTATTCAGGATAAGCTAACGCAGAAGTGAGTGATCCTCAGTAATAAGATACAACATTCAATAGATTTTCATATTTAAGGACTTCAAGCTTTCTACAAAACCATTGCGAGAAAGCGACAGACAAAGATTTTTCAGTAAATGGAGGGAAAGTCAGACGTGCCTCATGCTCAGTCCACCCTTTACTTTTATTCCCACTGCTGAAAGAGCACTCTTTATTTTTCCTAAAGTAAGAGGTTTAGAAAACCAATTTATCAATACACAACCCAGGTACTAAAAGTTGGTAAAGCCTATGATAAAAATGGTTTGGTCCATCAATTACGGCATGTTGGTATCAGGCTGTTCTCTCATAAATCTATTGGGTCCTGTGACAAACAGCACCAATCTCTAACCTTTATGTGGCTTTTAGCTGCCTCTGAATCTGGCTCACTCCAGAACTAAGACACATAACTCTGTCACCTCAGCATGCTTTGTTTTCTGTTTTTCACCAACCTGTTGTAGCCACACCAGCAAATATAGGAGCTATATTTGAATCTCCAAAGACATTGAACTGGACCATATCCCATTCGAATATGTTCTAATCCTTTTTTTTTCATATAATTACCTCCGCCAAGGAGGTTATGTTTTCGGTAGCGTTGGTTTGTTTGTTTGTTTGTCTGTTAGCAACTTTACGGAGAAAGTAACACACGGATTGACCTGAAATTTTCACCAGAGGTGTGTCTCAGCCCCAGGAGGATCCCATTAAATTTGGTGGTGACAAAATTCTGGATACTGTGATCCAGAACACACAAAAATAAGGGTGTCGTTGGATTTTTAATGCTGAAAGATAACCAATGGGCGGCACAGTGGTGTAGTGGTTAGCACTGTCGCCTCACAGCAAGAAGGTCCTGGGTTTGAATCCCAGTTAGGGCATTTCTTGTTTTATGAACAGTGAACATACCAGTTTAAACACAAATAAACATTAATAAAAGACACGTAACAGTAAAAGTTTTGGTGTGAATCTCAATATAAAGGGGGACATGAGCTGCTTGGCGGAGGTCTGCGCTCTCCGAGTGCTTTTCTAGTCATTTTGTAAGTGATGCAAGACAGAACATGACAAGTGAAGGACAACAACCTGAATGGAAAACGCCCTTTACATTATTCTTTAACTGATAAAACAAATACGAAGGACACAGAAATATGGAGCTGGAGACATTTTTATTATAGGGGAAGAAAATTGGCACTATGTATCGCTTTTCTATCACTTCAACACAAATGAACCGTCCTTGGTTTTACAAATGTAATACATTCATAAATTCACCTTGCATACATGTGGTAGTTCTGTAAGTGCTGAAAACATGACTGTGTCTGCATGTATATGTGTGTATGTGTGTGTGTGAGTGTGTGTGTATACATAGATAGATAGATAGATAGATGTTTATTTGCAGTCCATGTTTGTGTTTCCATGTCTGTGCAAGACTGTGTATTACAAGTGTATAAAGTCAACACAATACAATCCATTTGGTTTTTGGTTTACTGTTATGAAACCTTGTTCCTCTATTCTCAGCATTTCAGTAAGTGAACATATATAAAAATTAGCAAAGAAAGCAGCAGAAGATAGGCTGTCAATGCCTTTCAGTGTGTGTACAAGGCTAAGTAAGTTTATCAGGAAGTTTAAAGTGTTTGCTCCAGAGGAGGTTTCTATTGTCACAGTAGTTGAGTTTTTATTTATTTTTGAGTTATTTTAATGTAAAAAAAAATTGTCAAAGTAAAAATTGTAAACATGATTTCACAACTTGAGGAAGTCCTCTATGCTCTACATCCGTATAGACATGGGGCAGAGTGAGAGTAAAGCAAATCAGAAAAGTAGGGGTTGTGGTTCAGACTCTTTTGGCACATTGAAACCCATTAATTCCAGGACGTCAGCAGTATTGTCAGGTTTAACAGCCAGGCGGACAAAGGGTGATGCCAGGTCGCACTGCATGACTCTGCAAAGCATCACACTGTTTCAAAGCAACACTGAGTGAGCCAAATGAAGATCAGCTTGCCAGATCCTCCGCTGTTACAGTAAAAAAGAAAATCAAACATTGTTCCCTTTGTCAAATCGAAAAATTTTATGGAAAAAAAAAAAAAGATTTTAACACTGTAAAAGCAACAAAACAGCCTAGATTCTGTGCACTAACAGAATAAACCAGTTGGTACAATGAAAAAGGATTTGTTACCTGTGATAACTGCTGTATTGGCTCTTTCTGCAGGAGCATCTCTCTGTTTTTCAATAGAATTAAAAACCAAGACACGTATTGACCTGCTGCTGTATGGCTGTTTTACAAGTCCATATCTGCTTATATTTGTCCAGCTCACGTTAGTCATACAACGCTCCAACTGGTCCAAAAGTGCTTTTGACATTATCTTGTCATCTTGTTCACTTCTGCAAGACAGTAAGTGTTTGTTTGTACTGGCAGCTTTTCTATTAGAAATGTTGTGCACCCTCTCACCAGACGGGGACATTAACATTGAGACTTCAGATGATGTTTGAGTGGCCCTTTATTGTAGTCTAGTGCCACATTTTCTGTCTTCTTCTCGACAAGATAAGTAGCAATGATTATGAAGAAAGTAAGGCAGATACTGAGACCAAACAAATTAATTATCACGACTGTTACTAAAGCTAGGCATATTAAGACCCAATATATAATAAACCTAATTTCTTAATTAACTGTTTTAAATCTTGATTCTTTTTTGAAAATCTGCAAATACACATTTGGTTTTGTTACTCACTGCTAATGTGCTTTGACGCAAGGCGTCCTAGTCAGTCATCGAAGGTGATTAAATAATGTTCTTTATCTGTCAGTAGACAAACATTTTAAATGTGGTTTAATGAGAAGCAGCAGTAAGTAAAGGAGTGACTGAGGGATAATTTGAACACTCTTGAGGCATGACCATACCTGAGTGCATTTGCATAAAAAATGAGGAAAGACTCAAAGGAATGATGAAGGCTTTGGTCCACTTCAACATAATGTTTATTGTAGTGGCAAACTACCACAAATTAACCAAGCCTTTATCAACCACACAGACACTGTGACTGACCACTGCTCCCACAGATGTCTGCTGTGACAGAGTTTTCAATCAATTCTGCTGCAAAGTGAAAAAAAAAAACCCAGATCAGCAAGGGTGCTTTTCTCTGTTGTGCTGTCTATCTGCCTATAGTTAGTGCTGTTGAGTAAGCACTTTGCCCATAAGGGAATACAAATACAACTGTACCACAGAAACATACCACAGAAACAGGAACAGTTAAACCATTCGTCCCATTTGGATGTTCTTTCTAAGAGCTGTAATGCTAGGTAGCATCACATAAGGGTTCATTGAAGATTACTAAATGGACAATAAGAATTAATATTTTATTCATCTTATAGGTACAGATGTTGATGTGAGCCCCCCAAAAGGAGAAAGTGATCTTTTGCAGTACAACCAAGTAAAACGTCTATAACCAAGCTAAAAAGATATGATCCACAATTAAAAGGTCTCCAGGTTAGGACAAAGAACAGGCCAAACGAGCTTGGTTTTACCCAAGTGCAATGTCAGATGGGTAAAAGACCTGACAGATATCCAATACTATTTTGTTGAAATACAGAATTAGGCTGCAACTTGTCAGGGGCTTTGCTTGTAGTTAGGAAAAGAACAACAGAAGGATTGTTCAGTTTGTTTGTGTCTTTATTTGTTTGTTATCCAGTCCCTGCTCTGACAGTCTGTGGTGTTGACTCTGCACAGGCCCTCAGCAGCTCAAGCAGTGGAACAATCACTGTTTTCAGTCGCTTTTTAAAGGCTGCAGAACAATTTAAGACTCCAAAAGCTACAGTGGGCAACATTATTTCATCAATTTTTTTGTCTTAATTCTGAACTTCAATCATCTCATGTCACCAACTACAATTCATTGAAATATTCTTTTTGTGTCTGACCATGTGTGCTGCCCCCTTTGTTCTTAGTTTTGTTCTTTCTTAATTATCCTCTCTAAGTCAATAACTAATCAGGGTTAAGATCCTGAATTACCAGCTAATGACAGTAACTGTGCAGAATTGCACCATCCGGCTTTGACACGTGTCTGCAGCTGTCTCATGCTCAGTAGCCCTCTGGCTGCTCCTCGCCTTATTGGTGCTGAGAGCACAATGGCAGAGCCAATTCTAGAGTGTGTCGGGGCCCCAAGCAAAAATTCAAGGGGCCCCTCTGACAACCGTTAAACATATAAATGATCTAAAACCAACAAAAGAGGTAAGGAACAGAAACTTTTTAAAAAACAATTAGCATCATTACTGCATAGCTTGAAAATTGTGCTTTAAAATAGCTACAGCTCTTGCATGTTTTACCACATAGCCAACACCTCACCTTTGTTCTAAGAGTTGATGTCTGAGACTTACTTCAGTATGATATATGCTTCAAAGTTGATAGTCTTTCATGCAGAAAGCACGCTGTCTAAATTTAGATCAAAATTTCAAAGCAAAGGGTTAGGCTAGTTAAGACACAACTTTCATTAATAGTGTTTCATTAACGGTGAAAGTTGTTGTCTGGGTTAGCTGTTTTTTTCCATCCAAAACACTCCCTTACTGGTGTTCTAGTTACTTTGGTGACATTTCATTTTTGTACCTTACAACTGCGCTTTCTCTCTGTCAGCTAACCTCACAAGACAGTGCGGGTGTGTCAACAGAGGGTAACAGCAAGTCAACAAAGTGGAAACCCCAGGCTAACATCTCCCGCTCCGCGTACACGGCTAACTAACTACCAAACAATTAACAGCCAGCCTTACGAATGTTAGTTAAAGTGTTTGCCACACTTCGCTATCTGCTCCACTTACCACTGTCTTGCTTTGTCCTTATTTCTTTCTTTTCTCACTCCCTGATAAGTAACTCCACCTCACGGCTGATTTTGACGTTACTTTGATTGACACGCTCACAAAGCAATGCGACAGGGATGACATGGGGCCCCTTGAGGGGGGTAACCATCTAAGATGTCATTGCAATTTGACCACTGGTTGTTTAATAGGGTTGCAATAAGTTAGGACTTTTTTGTGGACTAAGGTTTGTCAGCCCCCTAGTGGCCTGGGGCCCCAAGCAACTATCTGCCTTGCCTCTTGACAAGCTCCGGCTCTGCACAATGGCTGCACAGCTCACACCTGTTGCTGCTTTTTGGATATGTATTAAGAAGCTGTCAGTTTTAACCATCGAGTCTAACAAAACTAGCTTGTGTGAAATAGAAAGTTAGTGGATGGCATACAGGAAGGCTGTTGGTGACATGTCATTGTAATACAAGCTATGACCCTGGAACTCTTTTAACGCACAGTACTAAGTAATACCCTGAACCGAAACCTGAACCTCTCGAAAACTGAACTGTTTTTATGTAAAGCTATAAAGAGATGGAATTATAAGCGCCATAGTAATAAAATTAGAGGAAAAGCAAAAACCCTGAATCCGACTCTTTCAAAGAATAGTGTTTTGTTCAAAGACCATAAGCATGCTCATGTTCTACCCCCGTCAGTCACTGAAAGAAGGTCAGTGAAAGTGCATTAAGCAGCCCAACAGTGTGGTAAGAGAGTATGCATGTTAGCCCGCTGACTGCAGTTTGCTTGCAGGCCACATGCTTGCTTTTAATAGAGTTGCTCTTAGGGGGAGAGAGTGGAAAAGGAAGAGTGTCTGAATACGCAGAAAGACTATTTCAGGATCCTCAGTCTTTGGCCTCAAACCTGCACTGTTTGGTTCAGTAGGCCCCAGTAGTGTTGCTGATTCAGCTGACAAATCATAAATAAATTAGTCTGATAAAAATAATTGTGTTTAATGAAAACTACATTGTCGGTTTGTATTCAAAGTCCCAGACATTTCAAAATAACACATTTTAAAGCAGTTATCATGCAATATGCCAATGCTGTGGTGAAGTTTTTGCTTATTGTTGTCATACTTTCACAGGCTCATGCTTATAAGGAAAGTTAGAGCAGGTTCATGGCTAAATAGTTGGATCTGGCAGCAGCAAGGTGTCTGTGACCTTTGCTACATGCCACTCTGTGTAAATGGAAGATTTTCTAACCCTTGACATTTGAAGTCCTCAGACACTCTCAAGACAGATGTGTTGACAACTCACCTGAGAGGTAAGCCCGCTGATTTATAGAGCAAAGTCATTTCCTTGGTATGACTGCTGATAACAGACACAATGATCATGCTGAACCACTTCATTACCAAAGGCCAAAGTCATTTGAGAGTCAAATCAAAGTTAATTTCATTAAGTTAGGTGAAAATTTCAGAGTACTAAGTAGTTTTATCTTCAGATACTTGAGGAAAATGGGGAGTATTCATTGTGGATTCTTCAGCTATTACCAAAATTAATGATCCCAGCTTGTCCACTGACTGCAAGTCTGAGGAAGCAACCCCTCACAGGTCAGAGGATTTAACATGCATCACTGTTAATGGCCACCACATGAATGTTTAAATATTTCCAAAGGTTATGTACCCTGCAGCCCTTTAAAAAGGTTATCCACCAACAATGTAATAGCCATCATCTGGTCAGTGTCTTAAAGTGATGCTGCTGGTCAGCTCTGTCTCTGGCCCTCACTTCTTTAACATTTACCTCTTCATTTTTCCTTTTTTTTCTTCAGACTTAACGTCTGTTTTGTGAACTGTTTTTCTGACTGTTCATGCTAATAAATCAACTGAAACATAAACTCAAGTGTGTTAGGTTGTTATTTTTGCAGTGAGGATGACCCATTATGATTTGAGGAATGATGAATTCAACAATGTGATATTCTGATTGTGAAATATGAGGTCAAATGGTCTGTATTTTTGAAGTGGACTATTAGTAAAGTTCTTGGCACAATGCGCACATCAGAACAGAAACGCTGGACCATGACGTAGCAAATATATGTATTATTCAGGCATCGAGATTTACGATAGGCAGACTCAACAACAGTCTAATGAAGAACTCCTCATGGAGACAACTTCCTGACTCACCTCTCCAGACCTATCCTCTGGAGAGGAACACACTCCTGAAATCCAGATCCCCGCTCTAACACTTTTCCAGGGGTGACACTCCTGAAATCCAGATCCCCGCTTTACACCTGTAATCACTTCCCCACTGACAAGTCCTCTGTTCTCCCGCACTTCCCCATAAATCAACCCCCCCTTAGCATACTAAAACTATGAGCTCTATTGATCTAAATGTAATAATGAATAAACGTTATTAACCTGAAAAGAATGAAGATGACTAATAAATAGACTGGCCGATCCAAATTAAGTTTTAGTAATAAATCCTGAATCCCCAACTCAATTTCCCCCACTCAACTCCAACATACAATACAACTAAATGTACCTCTATACAATATTGTTTACCCATTAGATTTTATTCAGTGTATGTGTGTGTGTGAGAGAGAGAGAGAGAGAGAGAGAGAGAGAGAGAGAGAGAGAGAGAGAGAGAGAGAGAGAGAGAGAGAGAGAAAGTCAAACAGACAGGGTGGCTGAGCTTCCCTTCACAGTTCTTAATTGGACAGATTTAATCCAAGTTTTTATATCCCAGCAACGTCCCCTTCAGAGACTGTCTGGGTTCGGTAAGTGTACCTAAATTACTCTTTCACATTTTGTGGATGTGGCCCTTTTAACATTAAAAAAACAAGCAAATAAAAAAGAAAAACAAAACAAAACTAGAAAAGCACTCGGAGAGCGCAGACCTCCGCCAAGCAGCTCACAGTATCCGGAATTTTGTCTGGATCAGGATCAACCTTTGACACCTTATAAAACTCACTGAGATCCTTTTGTGTAATTTTTTACTAAAGACTCAGGCCATTTTTACAGAGTTAAATGCAAAAATTCCAAAATGCCCTATCTCACAATGATAAAGAATCCTTTGAAAAATTCCTGGATCCAGAAGGGGATCCAGATCACCACCAAAATGTAATGGGATCCTCCTGGGGCTGAGACGTACCTCTGGTGAAAATTTCAGGTCAATCCGTCTGTAACTTTCTCCGTAAAGTTGCTAACAGACAAACAAACAAACAAACAAACAAACAAACAAACAAACAAACCAACGCTACCAAAAACATAACCTCCTTGGCGGAGGTAACAAACAAACAAAAAAAAAAGCCAAATTTATAAATATGAAAAATGTATGTCGCAAATTGCCATGGTAATATATGGAAATAAATTTCACTGTCACTACATGCTCAGTTTTTGTTTGTTTTTTGTTTGTTTGTTTTGTAGATCAGCACAGTGAGAATGACTCATTGTCACACCTTTAGTGATCCACCACTGTATCCTGACTCTGAGTTACTCCAGAAGCCACCAGGTGCTTTCAAGATACTGAAAGAATCCTTCTCCATGGCAGAAGAAATTATTTGTGGCCCATTCAAGGAGAAATTAACATGAGAAGCACCCCATGTGATGAGAACAGCCCCTGGTTATCTAAAAGCATAAGTGAGCAAGTGAGAGGTGAGGGTATGCAGTGTGGTAAGGGAGATAAAAGCATGCTGGAACCACAGTGAGAACTAATCTATGACTCATCTTCCTAACAAAGCTTTACATAGTTATTTCTGTTGAAAGATAATGCCGGTATCAAATGCAAAGTCAAAACATCTGACATGTCACTTCTGTGCGGCTCTTCAGTATGATGTTTCAGTGTTTTTAAGAGAGCTCATGCTGTGTTTGTTGACATTGTAAAAGGGTTGCAGGGTTGAAACAAAATACTTTGAACAAACTTGACTCAAATGACTCATGTTACAAGGTTGGTTGGCATGCAAGGATATTTTGTTTCCACCAAAAATGTAAACCCTGAATATTATTCAGGGCCTGCTCACAGTTTGGACAGTTGACTCTTCTGCTGTAGTTGTGAGGAGAGAGCCTAAAAGTTACATTTCCTTAAACCATGCTGCCTTATGCCTGAAGTTTCCTGCTCAAGCTCAGGCTAGTTCAATCTGTTTCAAAATTTGTGCTGCTTTTTTGGTCAAGGATTGACCTCCACAAATCGGGGCCTGGTACTGACCCCGTATCTTGGGCTTTCACTGAGTTAAGCAAGCCTCTGACAGACCTCCAGAAATGATTGAAATAACCCATCACAGCTGACCTTGACTTTCTTTGCTTTATCTCTAACTTGTCCAGATCAAGTGAAATCCCTCCCAGTTGGTCTGTATAAACAAAGGGTTATAGCTGCTGTTGTGGGATCACTTGGACCATAACTGAAGCCGACATAAACTTCAACAGTGGCACGTTGTGCGCCAAGCTCCACCAGACGAAAATACCACTGCGTGGGGTCCGCCACGTCGCCAGCGGGTATGAAAATAGAGCCCTTAGTGGTTTGTTGAATATTTATTTTTATTTGGAGCATTTCAACTTTAATGTGAGTCCTCCTCTACCACCCATGTCAAAAACATTGGCAGTGTGCCAGAATTTTACCAAAATAGATGGTGGATCAGGTTATGTTAATTGCCTTCTTGTGCTGATATCAGTATCATATCATTTGCCTACAAAACAAGCTATTCTTAAGATAAGTCCAGACTGAATCAGTCCATCTGTGTTTTTGATGATGCAGCAACATTAATTATTTGTCTTAAGTTTATCAGCAAACAGCACTGATCATATTTTTAGATTTTGGACATGCTTCATTATGACAACACATTATATGTACATATACTGTATGTGCAGTGTATGTAGGTGGGGTTACTCTTATATGATTGTGTCCACACATGATATCTCAAGTATTTTATGATATTACAAACTTTGCATCCCTGAAAAGCAAACAAAAAAAAAGTTTCCATAAATGTATTCGTGAAAGTCTTCTATTGTAGTAGCTTGCCCTTCTTATTAGACGGCACTCATTTGCCAGATAACTTTGCCAAGTCTGCAGGGCATGTCAATTTTGTCCAGACTTGAGCTGCTCATATTCCTCGCATTCTATGTGGTGGTTTATTCCCAGGTTGTAAAATAAATAAAATCAGTTCTTGAGCCATCTATAACAGTAGCTGTTTTTTTATGTTTTTTCGACATGTCCTGCAGGTTGGTGCCTTTAATGTAACATCAATCTTTTCAGAGCCAATCTTCTTCCATGTGGATGTGGGAGGATGATCTGAAACTGGCAGTCATCATCTATATGCTAAAAAACAACAATTCTCAGGCAGCTCATGTTTGAGTTTTGTCTCCTGGTGCTGTTTATTCACTTCTTTTTAACTACAGCCATATAGGCAGCAACACCTGCTGGGCTTGCTGTGGTGTGTGAACACTGCGTGTTCTTTAAGGCACATGTCCAGGAGCCTGTCCATCATGTGTGTGTGTAGACTCTCAAGAACTGTTTTAATTGTTTAGCAAATGAGTGACATATACTTAATACTGTTATTCCACAAACTATTAAAACAACAATTAAGATATTTCCCCAGTGATTAATACCTCACACTCCTAAAAGTCAGTGCAGACATCTGTGTACAAAATATAATTGATTAATGGATGCTATTTTAATTTAGAACAGCAGCTCAGGTATGCATGAGACAGCAGTTCCTCTTAAGGGCTCTGTGTTGGGCTGAATAATATTGAGATGCAGACAGGGACATACCACCTCAGATGCAATCCCTTTTGACATTTATAGTCCTTGGGAACACAAGGTTCTATCTTTCTAAACATGCACAGATTTCAGTAAGCTCTCAGTAGAATTGAAGCCACAGGATAAGCTATGCATTTGAGAAAACCTCTCGTTAACTTAGACTATGTTTACATGTGCCTTGCTATTTTCATAAATGGACATTTAACCCTCTCCGTTTAAAAAAAAATCTGCGTGCACACCACTCAGAAAAGCTTTTATTTACACTAATCTGTGCATATATGCCGTCAAAAGCATGCCAAACCTGTAGGTGGCAGTGTAGCGAGAAGCTCAATCCAACATTAGCAAATCAGAATCCCGCAAAGCAACAACAACAATGTCACTTCCCTCTTGATGCGAGTCCAAATGCAAACAAATATAAAGGGATTGCACCAGCATAAATACAACTGCTATTCTGCATGCATCCATGATCACCATAGCTTGTAAACATAAGCTGTAGATTGTAAACAATGTTGCATTTAACCCAGTTTCTGGCGCACAATCTGCCTTCAGCTACCGAAATCTCGTCTACCTGCAAACGTGCAAATGGAGTTAACAGTTTTTAAAAAGCATTGTTTTCAGGAGTGAATTCTCTGTTTGCATCAATAGTGCAAGCGACGGTTAATGTCTGTTTTTAAAAAAATGACCAGGTATGTATAAACAGGGCCTTCAACTCATATTAAACTCTGAACACTGACTAAAAAGAGTTCTCTGGGATGTTAGCCTTGCCATTCACACTAGTCATTACTCATAATGTGGTAATCAAAATGATACAAACAGCTGCATCGTAGATACGATTAGAGCTGATCATTTTAAATCAGTCATGATTAATCAGCGTTAAGCAAGAGATATCTGCTTCTGTTTTATTTAACGAACCACTCATAAACAAACCAAGCGCCCATCTTTAACCAGTGGATTTTCACATCATCAATAACAGCTGATATGGCCATGATTACAATGACATTAGGAATGAAAAACAAGACTGCAGATTCATCTGTCCACATAAAGATAAGCTTCAGTGAGAGGAGAGGTAAGCTTTAGGGAGGCATTTGGTGAGATGCTGATTTGAATATGATTAATGATGGGCCAGGTCTTCAAACCCCATCCAACCCCCACAGTCAGTCTGCTTCTGATAGGCCACTGCTCAAAGTTGCCCCTGCTATCATGAGTCACACTCACTGTCTGTTACTGCCCAGAGCTCAGGAGGGAAGAAGTCTGGCTGCTGCCTCAGCCTTGATCACAACGTCAAGGGTCAGACACAGTCCGTCCAGCTGGCCTGAGATCAGCATAACATCTCAGCAAATAAGAGACAGCAGGGACCATGTGAGGGGGGCTTTTGTTATGGCAGATCTACTGGAGTAAATCGAAGACACACTTACAGCATGAAGAAAAAAGTGCAACCCATAACAAAAAGTGTTAACTTCATTACTATTATTATTATAAGAAGAAGATAAAGTTGATTTTAACAGGAAGAATCCTAAAATAAACCAAATTGTCCTACAATGTGTTTAATACCCAGAGGTCTGTGTATCCAGTGGGGACCCCAGTAACAACCAATCTTGTGCTTCATCCTTCACGTGTGTAGCCTCTTCTCTTGTGCGTCCTCCTAGCACCTCCAGCTAGTGGAAGGGCAGAAGCACTCAAAGTAAGGCCTTAGCACCATGTTTTGAATATTACCACTTAAAGGCATGGTTGACAATTGGAGAGATTGGTATTTATTATGAACCTCGTTC